TCTAAAACCGACCTCGTCCTGCTGAGCATGTGGCCGATCAGTGGACAATCCCCACTTTCGGCTATCTATTTCAGACTGGCAAACAGTCTATATTTGTATGTAACTCTATAATGATGTAAAAGTTTATTTGGCACAATAAAATCACTATTAACTATTCATAGAAAACACGGATAAGTATGCAAACTTAGCTAACGTAGAGACAAAACCGAGTTACTTTCGCTAGGTAATACTAGCTGACCCGGCGAACTGTGTACCGCCTATGTTCATCTTGGATAATATAGGATTCTATAGGTGATTTTTTTTTAAATCTATCCAGTAGTTTCGGAGCCTATTCAATACAAACAATCAAATAATAGTGGACCTTTAGTGTAGAGTTGACTAGTATTATTTTATTATTCATCGGAAGGGTAAACTTTCTTCGAAATAGAGCGATGATACACGCAAAATCATTTCCAAATCCCCACATCAAATATAACACCTCTATAAATATGACCTAAGAGTATATTCAGAATCAACACTTAGTAAACCGTGTATAATTTGTATTCAACTATAATTTGGGATTTACTCGACCCTCCATACACTTGTGGCAAGCGTTATGCATGTCATTCTGCTCTTAAAAGCTTTTGCTCGCTCCCTTGGGGCTATTCTAGGGATCAAATTAGATGCTTGTACAAACTGGAACCTAGTTGATGTAATTTTAATACAATCTATGTTACTATTATTGGAAACTAGCTGTGCCCGCGACTTCGTACGCGTAAAAACCCGTTTTCGCAACATTTTTCATTTTTGCTCTGCACCTTTTACTTGTAGCGTGATGGTTTATAGCCTATAGCCTTCCTCAATAAATGGGCTATCTAACACTGAAATAATTTTTCAAATCGGACCGGCAGTTCCTGAGATTAGCGCGTTCAAGTAAACAAACAAACAAACTCTTCAGCTTTATAATATTTGTTTAGATTAACAACTTGTAACTACTACTCTTTTACCGTCGCCAGCACATAGAATAAATACTGGGCAACTACGGAACCCTACACTGCGCGTGGCACGACACGCACTTGGCCAGTTTTTTATTTAAAAACAGAGAGTGTAGATACAACTCCGCGACCGCAGTATTATTTAGCTTGAAATCTCGTCGCCAATATGATTGAAATCTCGAATATTGAATATTATAGACCATTGGTTCCCAAAGTCGCAGGGGAGGCGCAAAGACCTTTAAAGGGGGGCGCGGGCCATCTGTGTACGTATGTAATGTAATGTATGTAATGCATCACAGACTGCTCGATACGACCAATGAATAATCTTGACTGGAGGAGAGGCGGCGCGGAATTTTTGTATGGTCGAAAGGGGGCGCGTCTCAAATAAGTTTGGAAACCCCTGATATAGACTATAAAACCTTTCGTATAAAATTGAAAATATAATAAAACAACTTGTCATTTTATGTTAGGTTCGTGAACAAGTATCAAACGACTTTGGGGAGTAGATTTCATCACAAGAATCATTTAACATATGAAAAAGTCCCAGAGCTGTCCCTTTTCATGCGTGGTTGAGTAAGAAATATTGAAACTCGTGAAGACATACTGAAAAAGCCTTATTCTTAACGGGAATACCATTATTACCATGATTTGTTTAGGCTTATTTCCATTAATATACTTCCTTTCAAAATAGGTACTTACTATTTTGTAAATACGAAAGTAATTATCTGTCTGTTATCTTGTGAAGTTTAAACCACTAGGCTAATTGTAATAAAATTATAGAGACAGTTTAAAACTTAAACTAACAACATTTATTTCACTCGACAAAGTGTAATGTGTATGTGTATTAAATGAATTGTGAATGTGTTCTTGGTTGAAGTGTATGTGATTAAACTGTACCTGTGTAATTAATCTGATATTGTTATAAGCTGCAACATATCCACTCCATGATGAATAATTTGATAAATAACTACCAGTAAAAATAAAAACCAGTGTTTCTCTATGTAAGTGAATGTATTTTCTGATTTTGAGAAATAAATGTCTTAAACCGTAAAACCCAGAGAAAAGCATAGGAAAGTTTATTATTCCGGTTTTTGAAGGGGATTGGGCACGTGCGTTTTAGTTTTCCTGTGAGACAGATATTCATAATTTATTTGCACACTAAGGCTGAGTTGCACCACCTAACTTTAACAGTAACCATAACGATAACCGATGTTTTTGTATGGAGTTTGAAATTCCTTTATTTGCGTAATTCCAGGTACATAAGTGGTCTTACATAGATTTGGTACTTACGATACTTTTTCGAAGACTGCAGATAAGATCGTCTGTTCACAGTAAAAGTTTTTTTACTTACCACACACTTACTTTTATGTTGAAACGTTCTCATCCCGTCTTTTTCTGGATTTGCCTTAGATAACAAATCGATACGATACACGTTTCCCTCTCGGCGTTTCGCGGAAGCCACACTTCGGTGCCGTGCTCAAAGGTGACGCACACATTATCTCATAAATAAATCAATCAATTCATTAAAATTGAAACCCGTTTAAATTCAGTCAAAATGTATCTATGAATTTCACGAATATTTACAATACAAGATGAAGTTATCAAATTATGTATCTTGTGTGTGTACGTACGTGTACATGCACATAACGATAGTGTAATGTCTATCAAAATTTTTGAAAAACTAACAGTAGCGAGCCATGTAAAGCTGACTCGCCTTCGTGAATTGGAACAACTATACCATGCTAGATTCAGGCTTAGCGATTAAATAAATGATCAATCTATCCAATTCCTATTACGTTTAATTTAAGACAGTGAATGAATGATGAAAATCGCAAAAAGAATCAATGTTTTTTAACGATGCCGCGATGTCACTGTTGTGTTCAATGGAAAGAATGTCCAAACGTTTTTGGCAATGGTTGGTGGTTATCACCTATTTATTAAGTGACCCACATACCTATTACAAAAATCAATTATTGTGATAATATGACATCCAACATAATTATATAACATCGTATGTAACAGTTGGGTTTCAACATGGCCTAATTGAACATCATGTCATGTGCGACTAGCCTAAAGTCAAAGCACCAAGTTAGTTAAAAAATACAACGCAAAAGTTCAAAGTAACCGTAGTGTGGTTTTAACCTTAGCCAATAAATCCACAGCCTATTTCCTGGCACCTTTCGATCCCCTTGAAGACACATATACCGTGTATTAGGTATGTTCAAAGCGGAATAATGCCTTTACAATCGCCACAATGAGGCTTTTGTCGTGAAAAAATAACGGAAAATGATGTTATTACTGCTGCTTTTTCAGTGAAATTGATATTCTATCCACTTATCACGTTTGGGAGAGGTCAGTGTAATTGTGGACAGGCTTTGTGAAAGTCTCGGTCTATATGAAAACACTTTCACAAAAATATAATGCGACAATAGCGTCCTTAGATTTGAGATTTGAGGAACGCTATAGCTTGACCACAATAGACAGTTTGACACCATACCCCAATAATTCGAAACCATAACTTTTTTTAAAATACCCTTCATTCTGGTCTTAAAAACTTAATTAATTTTAAATTACCTGTAAATTACGATTTATGTTCGCATTGTAATTGAAAAAAGTAGTTAAATTGAGTTGACAAAATAGTGACGTCACTTGCTTGTAGTGCCATACAAAATCTATGGGAGAGTTTCGTTTTGACAGATTTAAAAAGTACGTCAATTGATTGGTGGTGTCAACATGTCTATTAGATCTGTGCCGCTCTTGAATTTAGTTCGTAGCGAAAAACAGATTGAGGAAAATGCGCTTCGTTCTGTAATTTAGACTTAGGTACATAAAATCAGTAACTTAGTTTCACTCCTGCGAACTCTACAGGTCAAACAAACATGAAATTATTTATAGTTGATTTGTACACCTACAAGGTGGACCGACGACATCGTAAAGGTAGCAGGGAAGCGCTGGACGCAGACCGCTGCCAATCGATCAACATGGAAAGCATTGGGGGAGGCCTATGTTCAGCAGTGGACGTCCTATGGCTGAAATGATGATGATGATGATGATTTGTACTTATTGTTTTTTGTTTTGGTACCAAATATTTTTTTCTTTCAAATTAAAACTTCAAATAGACAACCAAAAGTAACATAACTCTAACCTATGGTTCGAACTTCGAACCCCAACGACCGCTGGGGTGGTGGTGGACCGCTATTTTGGTGACCTCACTTCTGACTCAAGCATAATTTCACTTAGTACCTTACTACCTTTATCAATTATATTTTATAACCTAAGACAACAGTATCATAATAAATATATTTATGATCTATTTCAACAGAACAAAGACAACTTTCAGTTATAATTGAGCAAATAATTGAATAAGGTAAAAGCAAACCACAATAGAATAGCTTTTAAGCTTTGTGTTTGCCAGCCTTTTAAGGGCCTTTGTGATGTCATGCCCATTTCCAAATCGCTTATGAATATACGTTTTAGAATTCGTGTGTCCAAAATAAATTGTAAAATTAATTGACTATTGATTCATTCATCTTCTACTGCGGCAAATAAACATTTTTTATACGACTTTACATTCTTCATCGAAGATTGCGAATGATAATCAATATAGAAAACCGGAAAAACCTTTCTAACCCATGGGACTTGTATGGGACTTGTAGGCCAAATCTTTCATTTGTCTCTGATAAATTAGAGAGAATCGGTTTTCCTGAAATTAAAGTATGATGATGAGAGAAGAAACCTAACTGTTTGAGGGTTACCGGAGAACTCACGGGTACTAATGTGCACTATTCCCACATCTCGTTCCCACTGCTGCAAGCTGCAACTCCTACAGCAGCTTGATCGCCATTAAAAACCCAACCAGTGAAGGTCAAGCTTGCATCCAATACGGGACTATTCCCACTTCTCGTTCCCACCACTGCAACTCCTGTGTAGCCAGGATCTACAGCTTGACCGCCATAAAAACCCAACCAGTGAAGGTCAAGTTCGCACCCAATGTGCTAATGTATTAAAATCCAAATTGTCTTGCAGGTGTACAGAGCGGTGAACTTCTACTACATCGTGGAGTCGCGGACGGTGTACCCCAACTTCTGGCGGGTCATCAACCTGATCCATATCCTGCTGATCCTGGCGCACTGGTTCGGCTGCTTCTACTTCTTGCTGTCGGAGGCTGAGGGCTTCCAGGTTTGTACTGTGTTTTATTCTTTAAACTAACCTTCGTATTGACAAACCATGAGGTCTCACAGTGCGCGTGGACGTACAGTCGTACAGGGTGACACAAGAGCTCTAATCAAAGCTATGCGTTTGAAGCAAGCGTTCGTTTGTGAATACGGGCGTAAGATTCTTTAAATTAAATTTTAATTAACTCTACGTGAATAAAAGAAACAAGACGACAACTAGAATCTATATCAAAATGACGTAAATTACAACGAGATAATAAAACACAACTCTATCTATTTAGCTTGATGTGCTGTCATCCGTACTTTACATTTATTTGTATCCAGTGGTCGTTGGTTCAATCCGGCTTGAAGGACCAAAAAAAATAAAGGAGAGAGTAAAAAAAAAAGAACCGTACCAGTATAGANACTACAGTCTATACTGGTACGGTTCTTTTTTTTTTAAAACATTCAAACTTGGAACACCCCTTGTTATAATAAATTATACTTCAAATTGAAAATGTAAATTGAATTCTGAATTTTCCATCATTGCAAATTCAATTTATGAGTAACGTCATTACCAAGGAAGTATGATTTACCGTCATACCCTATCTGGATCAACACCAAACACTGTAGATAATAGATAGTGCCAAAATACGTATCGATATCACGCTACGAACAAAAAGGGGGGTAGACGGAGAAGTTGATAGCGATATAAGCTGCACATTCGTATGCAGGGACATAAACGTGGGTTCCGGGACAAATGGCGCCCGAAAATAGAGCGCGAGTAGGGACACCAAAAGTTTGGAAACGCTGAGTTTCTGGACCTCTATAATTACAATACTGCTAAAACTAATATCTATCGATATTGTAGAGATAAATCAATCCGATAGTCTAATACTTGTAGTAGAAAATATGTACTTTAGGCATTTCATATCGATCGAGCGAGCTATTCGTACATTTGTGTGTACTAAGTGCCATTGGGTGTTCCAGAAGAATGTTAAAAATATTATTCAATTTACGCATGTGGGATAGTTAAAAGAAGGAACTAATAATTTATTTTTATTGGGATTTTGATCTTCGTCTCACCATAGTACAGTCGCGGAATGAAAAGGTTGGTCACCTTAGTGTCGGTTTTCGCTTGCACTAGGTACTGTGAGAGTCAAACCTGCCAACATCATAACAGTGCAAGAAACAGTGCTGTAACGAATAAGGTTTTGCTTGTTTATTTTTCTATCCCATCAGTGCAATGCAATGGTGACATTGACCAATTGACAATAGTTTTTTTTTTATTTAAAAGAAATAATAATGGCAGTTTGAACCAACAAGAAGGTTTTAGTTTACCAATCATAATAATCTTCTTGACAAGATAAATCGAAAAAAAATTTTGAACTTTACTGACGAACAGTTAAAGATTATTTTCTCTAACTCGAGATTATTCTGTAACATAGTTTCAAAAGGTAATATGTGCTCGCGATTCGTTGAAGGAATCAATTTGAAAACTGACGAACCTTTTCATTCCGTGACTGTACAATAATGAGTAATAGTCTCACTCGAAGAATTGTTGTAATTTATAGCAAAATTTTACTCTTTAGGCTTCACTGTACTGTATGATTTTAAACTTTCGCGTTCCATTTCAACTAAAATAGTAGGTAAGACACGGGTCTTAACGCGACGCCAAGCCGTGAGTACATAATGTAACTCATTAATAATATACGTCGCGTTAAGACCCGTGTCTTACTATTTTAATGTACCTACTGTATGAATTCAAAATCATCAAGGCGGAGATGAATGAGACAAATCAATTTTAAAGTAATGAAGAAGAGAAGTAGGTAAACAAAGTCGAATCCATGTTTAAATAAGAAACATGGTCACCCTACTCGGGAGGTGTGCTAAATCGCGCAGACGAGAGGTTACCGCGGTGAGGTTGGACGGGCCTATTTTTATGTATGTGCATTTAATAATAGAACGTAATTTGGGTGTGTTAACCCCGGAATAATCAGACTGAGAAAGAAATTCTATAAAGTTAAAAGTGACATGCTCAAATTATTTATAAGTCCGAAATTTTTATGAATGAAATGATACATGAAGGCTTAATTTTTATCTGATTTTCTGATATAAAATACGATTCTGTGCTTCGAGTCAAATCAGACGCATGGAAGCTTTCGTTTAAACCAAAAATATTCTATGCTAGATAATACGCCCGTATTCACAAACAGAAAATCAAACGCACAGCGCGGCAGCGTTGATATGAGATTGTTTCGTGTGTCACCCTGTGCGTCCACGCGCACTGTGAGACCTCATAGTAATGTTTGTGAATACGAGCGATAGGATTAGGAATTTAGGACAAAGACCGACCCTACGCTGCCGGGGTCCAGGCGCTTCGCCAGATCCTCGGTCTACCGAATAGCACGCCTGTCTACACTGCGTCTTCCTGTCCATCCCAGACTTCAGGGCTATACGACCAAATTGGGTATTTGCCACCACTCTCCAATAATTCTAAATATCTTTTTTTTTTAAATAGGCACTTCATTCTGGTCTTAAAAACTAAATAAATTTTAAATTACCTGCAAATTAAGATTTTTGGTTGCATTGTAATTGAAAAAAGTAGTTTAATTGAGTTGACAAAATAGTGACATAACTGGCTAGTAGTAATTGCCATACAAAATCTGTGGGAGAATCTTGTTATGACAGTTTTAAAAAGATTATTATTAACACAACACTCGAAAGAAGAAAGAAGAAAGAAAAGTTTAGATTCTGTCTGACTAATACCACTTATTCGCAAATCCGAGCACAATTCACTGGATTTATGTCTGCATCCATGTACAATTGTACACATTACTCACATCTAGACGTAGGCTCAAATAAAAAAGCCTACAGCCGATTTGGCCTTTCCTAAATGCCCCAGACAAATGTCAGCCAGTTAGGTTCATTACATTATCCAACTACCCGCGTAATATGACCCATTTAGCGTTTATTACGTTTTCGGAGGTAACATTACTCAGATTTCATTCAACAGGAGTGGTCGAAATTAATAATTTAAAACAACTACAATCTAAATATTTATTTTCTGGCGAGGATTTATTATTTATTTTCATATTAAAATTTTTCTGTAGGTGAGACTGCGAAATTCTTAGTCATACACGTAAAAGTCTTACAAAAAACTAGGATTTCGTCTAGTTTGAAGGGGCATCTGAGAGCAGACTGAGATTCCTGGTAACCCCCAATAAAAAGACATTTCTATTTTGTTGAAAAAATATTTTTCCGGAGATGTCCGGGAAGAAACTCAATTTCGCTGAAATATCGGGAGTTTACGAAGTTTTTTCTTTTGATGATGGCAAATCCTGGCAAATGTTGGAAAAACTAAAAAATAAAATTCAAATGTTGTTCATGGAGAAAATATTTTATATTTTTCAAAATATATCACTTTTATAATAGACTCGCTCAAAAACTAAGGCAGCAGTGCATAAGAAACTTAAGTGTTGAAGCATTATTCTTCGTTTCCTTTTAGATGCAACGCGTCTTTGTGGCTGCAAACTTAAATTGTGTCTTTATTTATTGTATCCTATGGTATATACGGTCCACCTACAACGTGGACCGACGACATCGTAAAGGTAGCAGGGAAGCGCTGGACGTAGGCTGCTACCAATCGATCAACGTGGAAAGCATTGGGGGAGGCCTATGTTCAGCAATGGACGAATGATCCTATGGCTGAAATGATGATGATGATGATGATGATGATGATGATGATGATGATGATGATGATGATGGTATATCCTTCTGCGGGAAGAGCCTGGATGTGGGCAGTACAGGACCGGTCGTTATGGAAATCCTTAGGGTAAGCCTTTGTCCAGCAGTGGACGTCATTTAGCTGAAACGAACGAACGAACGATAGTACCTTCTGACTTTACCTATTCTCAGTACTTATGAAAATTACTACGAATCTGTCTTCACACAGTTTGAAAAAAAGCGAATTTAATCTGAAAGGAGTGATTCTCCAATACTATCTACATATCTTTTATATGGGATCTAAATCTCGTGATACCACTCCTCTCTACATTCTAACGGCTGATTGGTCAAAAGATAAAACGCACTTTATTGCACACGCCGTATAAAAGATTGAGTGGGAAAATCGTACCTTCCCATAATACCAGGAATTACAATTAAAAAACGATCATGTACCTATCTAGATGTTCTAACCCTCGTAAAGTTCCCTCATTATTCCACATTTATTGGCGCTAAAGTCCAGTTTAATTTCAATCGTAATTAATTACACTCAAGACTCAATTTGTAATCTGTAACTGTAATTACGGTAAGGGTCTTTAATGAGGACTTGCTTTTATGCATCAGTATGAACAGTTAGTGATCAATGGTCAATGGGTAGGACCGTTGACATTATTGTGTGGGTTCGGGATTTGATTCCTTAAATGGGGCATGAAGTGGGGATTAACCGCCTCTGTGGTCTATTGGTAAGACCACCTGCTTCAGACGCAGAGGTCCCGGGTTCGATTCCCAGTGGGGGCAGATTTTTCTGTTCGGTTTGGTTGGTGGTAGGGCTTGTTCTAAGCCCGCCTGGCTAGCTACCACCATCTTACCTAAGTCTGTCGCCATAACAACAATGTTAACAGCATTGAGGCAGGCAGCATGTGAGGTAAGATAGCCAGTTCCTCCGTGGTTGAGGATTCCGAGTGAAGCTCGCTTCCACCTTCGGCCTGATCATCACTTACCATCAGGTGAGATATAGGCCAAGAGCTTCCTCGTTGTGGATAAAAAAAAAGTAGCGAGCTTAAATCACTCTCATATTGGCCTAGGGTCAAGTTTTGTTGGCTATATAAAACTGTTCTGATAATACTGAAAAATAATATGTGTGACGTGCCTTTTTAGTCCAGTCAATAAATTATTTAGAGGGAAATGTGTGGAACACAATTTCTGACTTCTTGACTTTATTTATTAGACTAGTTAGGAGGTGAACATATCAAAAGTCCCCGCCCTTAGCCTTTGAGTCGGCGGGGTTCGAAAGTGCCTTTATTCGGTTTTTCGCTTAATTCTTACAAACTATGCGACCTAGAGATATGACCACTATGAACCAAAAAAAGCTGATTACATTTGTTACACTTGAGCTAGTCAAGTTTTTCTATATCTTGTATCGTTTCGAAACATCTGCTCCAGAAGGTCTGTCTGTAATTTGGAAAAAAACATGTTAATTTGTCTCACATATTCACATCATGAGGAAATCGACTAAATCAACACTGAGCAAACATTCTACACATTCGGGAGCGTGTTAAGCGAAGTTCCAGCGAGGGAAAGTACACCGTTTGTATATTTAGATGAACCACTTGGAGCCACTTTGACCCTTCATCACTCAAAAACTACACATTAACACGTCAAATTTGGCTCATGTGTTGAGATTTGCAAGATAAAAATTAGCTTCAAACATAAACAAACCTCAAACGGTTATTTAGGTCATCATCATCTCAGCCATAGGACGTCCATTGCTGAACATAGGCCTCCCCCAATGCTTTCCATGCTACCGGGTTGGTAGCGGCCTGCGTCTAGCGCTTTCCTGCTACCTTTATGGTTATTTAGGTAATGTCCCCCAAAAATCTTGGATCTTTGTAATGATAAGATGCCGTCAGCTACTAACTTTTACACAAAAACAAAAGAACATAGCAATAAACCTCAGGCAAGCCGTTAACAATTACTCTTACAACATTAAGGATAATTCAGCGATGAAATCAAAGCTGAAATCAAACCCTAGTACAGGGCGTGACCTTTCGTATCCCTTTTATATGACCGTAAAACCACTCTAGGGAGTGAATACTGACGGACGTGACTAGCATCTGAGTATGAGAGTGCGAGGAAACCGAATAGCTGCCAATTTGGACCTTAATTACATCTTGTTACGTTCCATCTGTGATTAATTACAACGTTGATTGCGCTTTTGGCATTTATAATGCAAAGTATATTTTGGTTCGGTGTAACACACTTACGCTCGTATTCTATTCACAAACGATGCTTGCTTAAGTGAAGCTGCGAATCGAACGCACAGCGTTGAATAGAGCTCTGTGATTGGTTCGTGTCACCCTGTGCGTGCACGCACTGTAAGACCTCATAGTAATGTTTGTGAATACGGGCGTTAGTCCTTAGATGACATTTATGTCGTTCTGTTGTATTCTGTACAAAATAACAAACCATCTCAGTCGAGCACAAAATTTGAAATACAATCTTCAACTTTATTACTTTTCACAATGCTTTCCTAATTAAAAAATGGACAGCTTAAAAAGGTTGCGAGTTGTACATAATATAGAACGAGTAAAGATGTTTACACAGATAGCAAAATAATATACAGTAGTATTTAGAGACATTGCTGTTTTACCATACAAAACTAAATGATGCGGTAAAAACAGCCGCAATATACGCACAAATCTTCATGCCCATTCTCATATGAGGGCCTTTTGATAATATCAATCATTGCTGATTCGATATCAAGATCTCTTCGCTACAAACTCCGTTTGGGCACAAAACAGAAATGTACTAATAAAATTTTATCAAACCGAAATCAATAACATAATATTCTGTTGCATAAAGGTAACATTCATGAAAATTTTCAATTTTAATTTCAAAATTGCTTCATTCCCTAGTTTTTACGTAACTTGAGTAACTTCCTTTCTACTCTGCTTCTTGAATTTCATACATTGTCACTTTCCTAGAGGTTTCATGGAATCAGTCTGAGTGAAGTAACTTCTTTTTGTGATAATAATTATTATACCTACCGCTGTATGCTAAAAAGGTTAACTTTGTTTATCCCTCACACAATTGGTGAATTCTCAATCATTTCGTAACCAATTATACAGGTTGTCCCAAAAAGTAGTGTCAAGCCGAAGCCCAGAGGTAGAGCATCTCTAGGGCTACCCGAATCACCGTGACTTTTGATTGTTTTCGAGTTATGATTTTTTTAAAACATATTCTGTATGTGTTAACTTTCTTTAGTTTACATTCGTGTTATGGATGTAAATACTTCTAAATCAGCTAGGCCTAGTACACATCAAATCAGACATGTACCTTAACAATTCGCGCCACAGTGACCAAAAAAGTGTCTACGCACAGAAATTTAAAACAATCATAACTCGAAAACTATCAAAAATCACGGAACATACATGGAGTGATTCGGGTAGCCCTCCCTAGTGATGCTCTACCTTTGGGCTTCGGCTTGACACTCTTTTTGGGACACCCTGTATAACTAAAGCTCATTCAATTATCTCTAAGACGTAAAATTGTCGTCAAATTCCTGAAACTATTTATTTGCTAATCAAAACAGCGCGTCTTTATTAACTTTATTAAGTTTCGGTGTTAATTCTAAGAAAACAAAAGACTCTGTTTGTCGCCAAGTTTCTCCAGAGCTGACACTTAACAATACCTTATCTTGGCAACACAGTGAGATAAGAAATAATTAAAGTTGCAAATTATATAGCGTAATTAATTTAAGAGTGATGCTCTATTTTATGCAGTTATTAGATTTACGGTAGCCAGCCCTATTTGTTGGATAAAAAGTTTAGGCAGGGGCTAAATGTAATTAATCTCAAGTTGCAATATAGGACAGGGTTCATGTTACGGGTCTATGTTAATTAAGTAAGAACCTTTGTATATCAACATAGAGCAATAAAGAATTTGAATTTGAAATGAAAAATGAACGAAAAAACAAATAACGTGCATTTTTGTAAACTACTTAAAAAGCCCTACTTTTTTAAAGACACTATGGCGCCTAAAATCCGCCATTTTGTTTTTTTTTTCCAACTTTAATATAGCCAGTGTCACTCTCACGGTTAAGACGAATCTAACGACACCACTCACGCTAAAATCGGTCAAGCCGTTTAGGCTGTAGGCCGTGCCAAAGAAATATAAATACATACATAGCCACATACATACATACACTCGAAAAACATAACCCTCCTTCTGGCACAGTCGGGTAAATATCACTATTCTTCTAACCTTTCTCTACCACAGAATAAAGATGTGTAATCAAATCGCTGGATTACAAATGAAGTCTGTAAACAAACTCATAACTTTGGCACTGATTCAGTGTATGCGCAGAAACACTGAGTAAAATAATATAGAATTCATCTTTATTTGTCCACAAACAAAAACAAATAACAACACTAACTAGTTGTGTACTAGTCCTAAATTGGTACAATCGATCTTGAACCCTAAATTAACTGGTTTCTGTACAACTGTATACTAGTAAGTAATCACTCTTAATTATGCACATAGGGCTTCCCTTCCCTTTACTTATCTTCTTACCATCATCATTGTAAATAGGACAAATACTCCCTTTAGGTTTTGATTCCCTTATTTGCTTTGACAGAAAGACAACGGAGTAATCCTATCAATGTATCTATTTTCCTTTTTGACCTACCTAACATTAAAAACTCAAATTCACTATCTTTCCTGGTCAACCTGTCATGTCCCTTTCCTTTTGACAAACAGAACCCTAAAGTTTCAACTACACCAACGCGTGCAGATCGCCATCGACGGCGCGGCCATAGGCCAATGACAGGTCACGCGACCCATGACAGTCCGCGCGACCCATGACAGTTCGCGCGACCTGTCATTGACGGCGGCGGCACCCGGCGACGGCGATCTGCGCATTTAGATCTTAAACTAAAAGGCATTTATATTTCCAGGGTGACTGGGCGTACCCCCACCGTCCTGGTGACTACGCAACCCTCACCAGGAAGTACCTCGGCTCCCTCTACTGGTCGACCCTGACTCTCACCACCATCGGCGACCTGCCGACTCCAGAAACCAACGCTGAGTGAGTAGTCTTATAGATTATGGTTCTTTAAACTTGTTATTTTATGTACCACGTAATATTCCAAAGTAAAATTCAATATGGGTACTAATGGGTAGTTGACACCAGTGCTAGTCATTTGATATATTTTTTATGAACTGTAAAATCGTGACTTCAAATAAAAGTTGTATAATGACCTCAATAATTAATTTCAAAACTACTCAAAATTTAATTTGAACTTTTCAGCATTGAAAACTAGCCAGATTTGACTTTTTTTTTTAAATTTGTGTTTTATAAACGACTTCCAGTTCATTTTCACCAAATATTTTTGGTTTATTAACACAATTTTTTGTACAAGGGCAAAAGAAAGTTGATTGTTCTTGTAATCGCAATACTCTTTGGGATGCGTTGTTTTAATTGAACATTGCGACTCTTTTACGATATTTTCGTATTGTCTTTTTAATTGCGCGTACAAACTTATAGTTATGACCGAATATTAAAATAATTTCATGCTCATGTACCGTTTTTATAAAGCAGTTTGTCATTTTAACGGCTATTTTGTTGCTCTTATACGACTGAAAATTCGCATGTCCCAGACAAAGAAATAAAACCGGCTGTAAAGTATATTTCTTTCACAGTAGTATTGTGACACGAGGCCTGATTACGAATGCTATAATATTACATTTTTAAATTAAATACCATTTAAAAATAAAATACGTTTTTAAGCCACGTCTAAATATTAAGATAATAAGCATTCCTTCGTTAAATTTTAGATTCGTATCCGAAAACTCTCTTCTATTCTAATCAATTGAGATACTTTTTATGATCTGTCAAAACGTGAAGGTACAACGAGCTATGACGTCACTTTCTAAATCATCCTTACTTTAAATATTCGAGAACACATCAACCTATCACAAAATAAAAATTCATTTTGATCTTCAGGTCCTGCAAATAAAGTGCAAAGCAAATTGAACATACAACATTGTGGTAGATTGATGTATCTGACTGTATTTGAGAATTTCTTGTATTACGGACACAAAGCACGTACACGAAGAATACGCTACATGTACAAATCGCACCCTTAGAATGAAAGTGACCGAATCCAAAAAATGCAATTTGTGGTAAATGAACAAGAAAGTCTTCAAAAAAGTGTAGTTTTGAATACATTTTACTATANCGCTACAATATAATAAAAAAATCAGGCATGTTATCAGGCAGGCTACCTTTGGGCTTCGGCTTGACACTACTTTTTGTGACAACCTGTATTATTAAAGCTCATTCAATTATCTCTAAGATGTAAAATTGTCGTCAAATTCCTGAAACTATTTATTTGCTAATCAAAACAGCGCGTCTTTATTAACTTTATTAAGTTTCGGTGTTAATTCTAAGAAAACAAAAGACTCTGTTTGTCGCCCAGCTTCTCGAGAGCTGACACTCAACAATACCTTATCTTGGCAACACAGTGAGATAAGAAATAATTAAAGTTGCAAATTATAAAGCGTAATTAATTTAAGAGCCCTCGGGTGATGCTCTATTTTATGCAGTAATTAGATTTACGGTAGCCAGCCCTATTTGTTGGATAAAAAGTTTAGGCAGGGGCTAAATGTAATTAATCTCATGTTGCAATACCCTAGCAGGGTTCATGTTATGAGTCTATGTTAATTAAGTATGAACCTTTGTATATCAACATGGAGGAATAAAGAATTTGAATTTAAAATGAAAAATGAACGAAAAAACTAATAACGTGCGTTTTTGTAAACTACTTAAAAAGCCCTACTATTTTTAAGACATTATGGCGCCTAAAATCCGCCATTATGATTTTTTTTTCCAACTTTAATATAGCCAGTGTCACTCTCACGGTTAAGACGATTCTAACGATACCACTCACGCTAAAATCGGTCAAGCCGTTTAGGCTGTAGGCCGTGCCAAAGAAATATACATACATACATACCCACATACATACATACACTCGAAAAACATAATCCTCCTTCTGGCACAGTCGGGTAAATATCACTATTCTTCTAACCTTTCTCTACCACAGAATAAAGATGTGTAATCAAATCACTGGATTACAAATGAAAGTCTGTAAACAAACTCATAACTTTGGCACTGATTCAGTATATGCGCAGAAATACTGAGTAAAATAATATAGAATTCATCTTTATTTGCCCACAAACAAAAACAAATAACAACACTAACTGGTTCCCTTTACTTATCTTCTTACCATCATCATTGTAAATAGGCCATATACTCCCTTTAGGTTTTGATTCCCTTATTTGCTTTGACAGACAGACAACGGAGTAATCCTATGAATGTATCTATTTTCCTTTTTGACCTACCTAACATTAAAAACTCAAATTCACTATCTTTCCTGGTCAACCTGTCATGTCCCTTTCCTTTTGACGAACAGAACCCCAAGAACTAAAAGGCGTTATACTTCCAGGGTGACTGGGCATACCCCCACCGTCCTGGTGACTACGCAACCCTCACCAGGAAGTACCTCGGCTCCCTCTACTGGTCGACCCTGACTCTCACCACCATCGGCGACCTGCCGACTCCAGAAACCAACGCTGAGTGAGTAGTCTTATAGATTAAGGTTCTTTAGACTTATTATTTTATGTACCACGTAATATTCCAGAGTAAAATTCAATATGGGTAGTTGACACCAGTGCTAGTCATTTGATATACTTTTTATGAACTGTAAAATCGTGACTTCAAATAAAAGTTGTATAATGACCTCAATAATTAATTTCAAAACTACTCAAAATTGAATTTGAACTTTTCAGAATCAAAAACTAGCCAGGTTTTGACTTTTTTTTAACAATTTGTGTTTTAGGTTAATGGTGTCAACTACCCAATTAGATAGAAAGTCAAATTTTCAAATAAAATAACGTTTTTAGAAACGCAATAGTAAGAAAAAAAAATATTTATGTTAGGTGTTAGCTAATATGACGTGTGTTACATAATGGAATTTGTCACACTCAAGAACTAACGAGTCACTATAATCGTTCCATGTACCCTGGTGTTTCGTACTGGTGAACCTCTGAGAGTTTGAATTCCCAGTTTATGAAACCTTATTAGAGAAAGGAAAAAAATTACAGACATTTATTTTTGTCACGCTAAATAAAGAGCTTCAAATATTATAAACGACTTCCAGTTCATTTTCACCAAATATTTTCGGTTAAAGTGACTATGACCTTTGTTAACACAATTTCTTGTACATACAAGGACAAATGAAAGTTGATGGCTCTTGTATCGCAATACTCTTTGGAATGCGTTGTTTTAATTAAACATTGCGACTCTTTTACGATATTTTTATGTAGTCTCCTTAATTGCGCGTAAACAAACTTATAGTTATAACCGAATATTAAAATAATTTCATGCTCATGTACCGTTTTTATAAAGCAGTTTGTCATTTTAACGGCTATTTTGTTGCTCATACGACTGAAAATTCGCATGTCCCAGACAAACAAATAAAACTGGCTGTAAATTGTATTTCTACTACTGTGACACGAGGCCTGATTACATTACATTTTCAAATTAGGGCTGAAAATACATTAAAAACAAAATAAAATTTTAAGCCATGTCTAAATATTAAAATAATATTAAAATAATCGCTTCATAGCGATAAGACCGCCTAATTGTACCTTGTGTGTTCCTTTTCTTCTGTTATACATTATTATCTCTTTATTCATTTTCCTTCTTATTTTTAATATTTTTTTTTACAATGTAAATTATAAAAAAACTAAAAATACATTATAAAAAAAAACTTAAAAATAGTTAATCCGCTGGTAGCGGAGCAGGGCCCAAGCTACCGGTGGTCAGGGTCACAGGTATTATTATAATAAGCATTTCTTCGTTTAATTTTAGATTCATATCCGAAAACTCTCTTCTATTCTAATCAATTGAGATACTTTGATCTGTCAAAACGTGAAGGTACAACGAGCTATGACGTCACTTTCTAAACCATCCTTACTTTAAATATTCGAGAACACATCAGCCTATCACAAAATAAAAATTCATTTTGATCTTCAGTACCTCTAGTACGAAAAACTTTCGAGTTCGTTTCGTTGCGTATTCAAAGTGTCATCGAAAAATTTTGTATGAAAAATTAAACAGCGCCCCCTAGGGCGGCTATAATATAGGGGGCGCTGTTTAATTTTTCATACAAAATTTTTCGATGACACTTTGAATACGCAACGAAACGAACTCGAAAGTTTTTCGTACTAGAGGTACTGGTCCTGCAAATAAAGTGCAAAGCAAATTGAACATACAACATTGTGGTAGATTGATGTATTTGACTGTATTTGAGAATTTCTTGTATTACGGACACAAAGCACGTACACGAAGAATACGCTACATGTACAAATAATGATGTCTGATATGATTTAGAGGCATATTACCATCGGCCTTTATTACGCTCATTTACGTGATAAGTGCTAAAACAAAATAAAAATAGGTACATCAAAACTTAGGCAACTTTATTATTTTGAATTTTTTTACTGTCTAAATTATTATTGTATTTACCTTAAATTAGTGAGAGAATAATATAACATACCATGTATTCGTGACAAAGATAGAAATATCAATAAATTAGATTATAATTCATCATGTTGTGTTGTAAATAAATGTTAAATATTTTTCAGTTACAGAGAATCATAATAGAATAGAATAGAGTAGACTTTATTGATCACAGTAAGCACAAATTATAAACAATAACAACACAAAACGAATATAGAAAATAGTGGACCACTATGTCAATAGGCCCCGCTCTGTATTTATCATGACATGCTCGTAAGGGCTTGTCAAGAAACTGGTCTTCCGCGAGAGCCCTTATAATACGTATCGTGAAATATATTTTCATTAAAGTAATCAATCAAAGGAAACGAAATTTATTTTACCTAGTTGTTTCCAAAATTGAATATCTAAAACTAGTTGTAAAACTATAACCAGTGAAAATTATAATAAATATTACCATTTTATAAAAGTTTATATTAGACTATATTGAAAAACACTGAACTCATTATTCTACGCAGAATTCTAGAACTGAATTGCGATGGAAATATATTAAAATTGAAATAAAAACAGAGCTTAAAGCTCGAACTGAACATTTCCGAGCTTACAGTGAAATCAAATTAACACGCTCAAAGTTCATGTTTTAGTTAGGATTGAAATATTCATACTATAGCTTAATTTTGGAGTTTGTATGAAATACAAAATTAGGACACTAATTTCGTATTCAAATTATTACTTTTTAATTTTGCTAGAAAGATAATATTATGATGAATCCTCACAAGTTTTATTTAAGTAGTGTTAATTGAATTTGGATATTTATCAGCTACTAGCTCTTTTCAGAAAACATTTTATTATTTTAGTGGGTAATAAGTAGGTAGGTTTCACTCGTATTTTACATGAACTTATTTAAAGGAGAACACTAATCAAATTGTGTGTAAATTGATTAATTGCTGTGGTTTATTTTATAATAAACTACTGTTTTCAGTCACAAAATAAATAAAACAGACCTTATTGTTTATTACTATAATAGGAAAAAACTATAATATAAATAGAAAAATAATATACTACCCGTTCGCGCTATGTTTTCCGGTCTGTGGAATACGCGTCCCCTCCCCCAACCTCGATTAAACGCAATTAATGTGTCTTATTTTACGCAAATACACGATTATTATCAATAATAAAAAATATTTTAAATATAACTATATTTAAAATATTTTACAAACATATATTTAACAAACTTGTTATAGATAAAGACGCTTCCCTTAGAGTGACGTCATATCGCCGGCGGCAAACTTAAAGCGAACGGATAGTAAGCTACTACCTACCAGCGATCAAAAGGAATATAACAAAAACAAAAGAAAAAACATAAAAGCAAAGTAATTAGTCCAAGATTTGAAGTTTCGTCTATTTCTTATCTCTCTCAGACGAACCAAGTATCAATTCCGTTAATACACCCGTCTGAGCATCTCTGTTTACTATCAAACTTAGACCAAGAGCTAGTGAACGCCATACCTACGTCATTTTATAAAAGCTAAATTTTTTTCAGCGCGTGCTCCCAAAATAGGTTGGGCAATAATTAGAAGTTGTTTCCTCATCAGCCTGAGAGTTTTGAGCGTTCCAACCCTTTGCCAGACAAGTAGCTGCCAAAGCCACACTAAAAAAATGTTTGGTTATTGCTTACACAAAAAAGTGACTGGCGAACTAAGTGTTAACTATAACCAAAACAAGTTTAGCTCACTACTAAATTGTTTATTTAATTTACACAATATTTTGTTCCTCATAAGTGTTCGGCGTAACCTAACATTTTTTTCTGTGCATCATCGTGCACCCAACCTTCATGGTGCACCACGATCTTACCTATGTTGGGAGCATGCGCAGACACAGCTTGTATAAAATAGCGTACGTCTGGCATTTACTAGCTCTAAGTCTAACTGTTTAGAGCCAGAGCTTTTTCAATTAAGAAGATTACCCGCGATTACTCTGCGAAAAAGTTTGTCTTTCCTCGGGCTAATTCGTTTTGATTTCATGTGTCTGGAGTTACGAGCAGGCACCGTTAATTTTAAATGTCTAATTTTGGATTGTAGGTGCTTTAGAAGTTACAATTTTATTATTAAGTTAAGCCATAATATTATAATAGCGTAGCACTTTACAGATGAACGGAAAAAGACACTAACTACTTATCACAAACATTTTCTCACTTTTCATTGAAGATAATAATAATATGACGAATCCAGTAGAAAATTATGATGTGTATTGATAAAATAAAATGTTTATATTATTTAAATCAAAAATTGAGGTAAAACCTCAAAATTTACATTAGGTAATTACATGAATGCTAAATAAAATTTATTTCTTTACTTTCATAAGTACTTACGTAGGATTTCAATAAGCAACTGAGCCTTTATCACAAAAGGTAACATAATGTTACTCAAAAGAAAATATGATCAATTTTAATAACATACAATATTCTACTTCTACTTCTAATAACGAAACACCGAGTACATTTATTGACTTGAAAGATGTGACAGCCAAAAATGTATTTTCTCAAATTCACAATTTTTGTAAGGGGGCCAACGTGCGAATCGTTACGTTTCTTTGTTCATCTTTGCATTGAGTTTTTATCAATTGTTATTCAAATACCTACTCATGCTATTATTAGGGACGTAGTTATCGTCGTATCAATGGTAGGCATAGATCGTTTCATCCACGAAGACGCGTCCCACCAATATTTGGTCGAGGGAAGCGCGGAGTGCGGGAAGTTGGCTCCGAGCAATCCGAGCGTCATTATTGTAGTGTGCGTGCGCACTAATGGATAATTTAGCGTGTACCGATAACACTCAAACATTAGCGGAAGAATGGTGGGGCGCGTCTTCGTGGATGAAACAATCTATATCAATGATACGGGGCCCCCGGGTTACCGGTTTTTTAGATATGTAGGCAACGAGGAAAGTTCTATAATTTTACAATGACCTTTTTTAGATGAAAAGGGTCTCATGATCTATACTTTTGTTAGATGGGATGGTATAACAAATTTTTATACAGGCACGATACGCCACTAGCTATTGTAGTCCATACCTTTGTGACGAGCAAAACTAATAAACGATCTTTCTTATAACGTGAGCCGTCTGGTCCTTCGTTGTACATTACATCCATCATGAGAATTCCAGGCGAAGCTTGCTCGTTTTAATGAGAAATTGTCTCATTAAGTCGGGTGCGAAATCCAATTGGTATTTCCTAATGATTAATAAAACCGCGGATCATTTAAAACCCCGAATACAGAAGTTTGTTAACGACTTGCTATTAGAAGAGCTTCGAAACCCTTTCGAAAGCCCTTATGAAAAATGGTCATTTAGTTATGTCATTGTGAAACGCAAACGGGTTGTGGCTGGATGAGTGAAGAATAGAATTAAATGAAGACGTATTAAAATCAATTTATTAAAAGGTTTTGACTGTCATGGTTTCAACTGTTATCAAAGATTTCGATAGCAAAATCATAGATAACCAATAATCAAAATAATTTCCATACTACGAAATGCTACAATCAACTACGACTACGACTGTGACTACGGCATAGCGCTACGACGTAGTCTACGACTACGAATTACAGCTACGAAACAACTATACTCGTACTACTAGAAACTTCTTTTCACAAAAGTTATTTTTTATTTATTCTCATTAATACCTATTAGATGTCAATCATTACATAAGAACAATAATTAAATTTAAAAAAAGTTCATCGTCAAAAATAAAATAAATACCCAATAAACTCTTTTTTTTATTCTTACTAGAAATCTACTGATATTTATAAGGTATTGACTATTGAGTCAATTTAGTCTTGAATCCTCTAACGTTTTTCTTTGAGTTTGAGTCTTTTTATTTGAGTTTTCTTATAAAGTTGTAGTCGAAGAACTCCTTCAAATGTAATTATTTGTTTTATAAATAGGCCACCAAGCTGGAAACTTCACGCAGTGTGGCGTATTTTTGTGAAAAAACATTTACTTGAGCAAGTATTTCAAATTAAATATAATTACAAGATTCCCGTGTGTCTTACAAACAATGCTAACCTCTCTACATTGCCTACATTACAAAGTTTGACAACTTGAGCTTGAATCATAAACTTCACGAGAAATTCAGTAGACGTCCGTCTATCTCAATTTATTTAATTAAACTTATAGGATTACTTTGTCCATAGAAACTAGCAATATTGTAACGAATTAAACTTTGTAATAATATCTTCGTTTTAAATAAATGCTATAAAAAGGCGAGTCTGTAAGTAATATGTCTTCGAATATTTTGCTTCAAGAACTCAACAATTTCTACAACCTTTTTGACTAAGCTTTTTGATAACTAACATAAAGGATGACGTCATATTACATCTTTCTAAAACATTGTTTTGACACATCATAAAAAGTATGTCATTTTCGATTATGTAGACGTACGACGCGATTAGTTTAAAAATTAAGTAAATATCTTTCGCCAAGTCACGCCAAGTCGACATTTCTCTATGTTGTAGCAATTTTTATCATACAAACAGAGTAAATACAAATGAGTAGGTCATCTTCATAGAAACGCACGGGCGCGGTTTGTATGTGAGCGCGCCAACACGTATGCGGCACGCACGCACTGACAAAATTTAGCGGGTATTAGCGGGGAGCCAGTCGTGGTTGCGCCGAAAAACAAACCGCGCTCGGTGCGTTTCTATGAAGATGACCTACTCATTTGTATTTACTCTGATACAAGTACCTCAAATACATAATATAAGATATATTTTGTAATGGTCATACTATACTTACGAGCAAAAGTATGGAATCACCCCTTTGTGTTCCAAGCGATCTTGAGAACTGAATGACTATGTATTGTATGTATCTATGGTATCAATTTTAAGTTTATAATATCTCCTTTAAAATGGTATCATTTTTATTGATCTTCTATTAGTCATTTAGTTCTTATGATCGCTCGGATTAAATAGGGTGATTCCATATTTTTGCTCGCGAGTGTAGTATTAACAATAAGGTTGTTGTTAGCACACACGGAGGCCCCAAATTTCTGCCGCGCCGCGGACTCAAGTCGCGCCTACTACAGTTCCGATCCAACCGAGGGTACGTTCGCAACGCGATTGGTCAGATCAATGACGTTTTACTTTTTGAAATTCGAATGGCACAGATAATGTAGGTGGTTCACTTTTTAATTTTCTCACAAGGCCTTTTATGGCACAGATAACAGGGTGGTTTACTTTTTTAATAATTATAAGGCTTCAGGGCGAAGGATGGCGATGGTCGTTACTTTTTAAAGTTAAAAAAGGCAAAGGAATGATCTGTGGTCATCTATTTTTAGTCTTTTTGTAAGTTTAGGTAAAATTAAAGAACACTAGTAGGTATTATGTCTCGTTCTTTTTTTCTTAGACACCAATGTCACAAGTGTTTTATATTTTAGGAGCACATAATATGGTTTTCTTCACACTACACTTTGATTTTTGTACAAAATTGAAAATTGCTGAACCGAACTTAATCTTACTGGTAAAACGGACCGTGACCTACTTTAGCTTGTATTGTATCTCCTAAAATTATTCTTAACCCATCAAACCTCTGTGAAGCGCCGATAAGTCTCTGGAGGGTATAATAAGAAATATCAAATACCGCACGCAAGATGTGGGTTTTTCAATATTCACAAGAAGTTTGACATCCAATAACCTGTATATTGAGATACCCGACAGTTTGAGTTCACCTCGCGTGTGATCTGTTTTTTCGTACAAAGTAAATATTTCTGTATAGATCTGGAACAGGGAGCTTTTTAAAGCTGACACGATACAAATCGATGAGGGAACGAGAGGATTACGTCATCAACTCTCAATCATTTTATTATAATCCTTGCTAACTTTTTCTGTAGGTACGTTTATAGTTTTTGTGTTGGTGTTTAATCAAAAATAAGCATGTTAACACGTATTCATAAATACGTTTATAATTTTAACACTTATCATTGCTCTCGTACCTCCTCATTAGACGTACACACGGCTACACTGTCAACTATCCATTTCCGTTTTTGCTCTCACTCTCATCAAATGGTGATTCTTTGCGATAGAACGAGACGACATGACAGGCAATGGATAGTTAACACTGTTGCCGATGGTACCTATCATCATTTTAAATTAATATTTATCACAAACATATCGTACTCCCTATAAAATAACTCTTTATTATTACTTAACTACCAACAGAACAAAAGCGCTAAATAGTACAAGACGATTGGTTTAATGCTTTATTGGTAATACTTTTCCTGCCCAAAGGAGAGACGAACTAATCAAAATTATGATCAATAAGAGTCGTTTATGGATTGAAATGATGAATGGATTGAAATAAAAAATGCTAATTTATTTAAATCTGCCTTAGAAGATGTCCGAGCGCACTGAATTTACCGAGAACAGGCAGCATTATAGCAGATAAAATGGTAATCTCGCAGAATTGTGTACGAAATCTGTTTTAATTAAATGGCCGGTAGCGATGTGCTATCGCTCCATTTGACTGTTCATTCGATTCTATTCGATTAAATTGAACATCCAGTTTGTTTAAAAAGTAGGTCGGTTTTATACGTTTGAGTATTATTTCAACGCTTGATGAAATCAATTATGATTGGTCGGATCATAGGATGACTCTGTCTATAATAACGTCATTCATCATCATCATTGACTGAAGAGTACTAAATTGAGTAGTCGTAACAACATTTTTACATCGTGTGAAACGCCGTACTATACACGATGTGCCGTACAAACACAAGGCATAAAGCATAGTACATTTTTACGATCAACAGCGAAAATGACTTGCTTATGAAAACGATCTCAACTGTAATACCAAATCATTTATAAAATATAAATATGTGAAGAGAAACTCTGACAGGTTCAGACAGAGACACTCTGACAGAGCTTCCTCTTTGAGGAATATAAAAAAACCGCCCCCATTTTCATTTAATACAATCGTACTTAGCACTCTGAAACAGTCTCAGAAATTGTGCTTCACTTTCTCCAAAAAAGAAACTCTTCAACATAAGAACACTCGATTGTATCGAGACCCTGAATATCGATAAGCCCTTCAACTCAACTTGGCACATCACTAATGGCCAGAGATTTATACGGCAGCAGTTCGCAAGTGTCTGAAACGAAGATTGTGGTGGAACGTTATTGGGTTCCGAAGTTTAAACAGCCAAATTATGAGTTTTCAAAGCCTTGCATTTGCAAATTCAGGGGAAAGCTCGTGAAATGACTTTGGGTGCTTTTAGGGGACATACTTTAAAGCGTTTCGTTGGAGGACATAGGGGTCACTTTCACTTTTCTCGTTTGAAGCTAAAGTCATCAATTGGTAAACCCTCTTCTACTTTTACTTGGTTCGTTAGACAATAAAAAAATACCACAATAAAATTATGAAACCATCTAAAAACTGAAATAGTCAGTAGATGTATTATCGATCCTCTTAATCGAAATTCTATCACGTATCGTATTAGGTATATCTAACTACTTAACATAATAAAATGTACAGTCGCGGAATGAAAAGGTTCGTCACCTTAGTGTCGGTTTTCGCTTGCACTAGGTACTGTGAGAGTCAAACCTGCCAACATAACAGTGCAAGAAACAGTGCTGCTAACATTTAAATAAATATGACGTTTGCTAACGAATAAGGTTTTACTTGTTTATTTTTCTATCCCATCAGTGCAATGCAATGATGACATTGACCAATTGACAATATTTTTTTTTTATCTATAAGAAATAATAATGGCAGTTTGAACCAACAAGAAGGTTTTAGTTTATCAATCATAATAATCTTCTTGACAAGATAAATCGTCAAACAACTTTGATCTGAATAATTTTGAACTTTACTGACGAACAGTTAAAGATGATTTTCTCTAACTCGAGATAATTCTGTAACATAGTTTCAAAAGGTAATATGTGCTCGCGATTCGTTGAAGGAATCATTTTGAAAACTGACGAACCTTTTCATTCCGTGACTGTACCTGAAGAAATATCTAACAAGTTATGTAACTAAGTTATTTCTCGTTATCCAAATAAAAAAGTAGGTATAATTGAGTCACCGATGTCCAAAGTTTATAAAATAGTCTAGTATTTTCACTTTTCAGGTATTTCTACATAAAATACAATTAATAGTCTCTTGAAATAAAACTGAGGTCCTTTATTTCGGTAACAATCCTTTAAACCTGTAAAATTGTTATACAACACGACACTAAACCCAAATATTGTCAACCGTTCTCTACAACATGCTTTATTTACTTACTTCAAAAGCATTAACCAAGCAATTTATTTACAAGGAAAACGCTTTGAGCAGTATTTCATTTTCAAAGCGAAATAAAACGTGTTTGCGTTGGGTAATAAAATTGCGTTAGAATTTTTATAGACGGTAGTCTAAAAGAGATGCCATACGGGCTTCTTCGCTGCGAAGACGCAGCGCGATTTCAACACATTTGCTCTCCACTCCGACGTCGCAGCGTTGGTAAATGGTATGTCAGTCTTTGACACTGACAGCTGGCACCTTCGTTATTAAAAAAAATTCTACGACGTACTGCACGTCATTTTGAAGGATCGTGTAGCATGTCGTTCAGATTTATATAGATGACCCACGCTGAACTGTCCCGCCAAACTCAATGACAGGGGGGCGCTACCATCGTTCAACTATATGGTTTCCAACATGGCAAAAATCTGAACCAACCAGCGATCCGGTATTGACGGTGGCGCCCCACTGTCAATGTCATCGACAGGACAGTCCAGTATTTTGGAACTATAGGTACGTATAGTTCCAAAATACTGAACTGTCCTATGCATGACATTGACAGTGAGGCGCCACCGTCAATACCGGATCGCTGGTTCCGATTTTTGTGATGTTGGAAACCATACAGTTGAACGATGGTAGCGCCCCCCTGTCATTGAGTTTTGTGGGACATTTTAGCGTGGGTCATCTATACCTACCATTCTAGACTGCATCTTACCTAACATCAGGTGTGATTGCGGTCAAATACCTGCCTTTTTCTGCATAAAAAATACATTTGTAGAACAGTCGCCGCAGCGCCGTCAAAATGCAATGTCAACGCTCGTGTGGCATCTCTGTGAGAAATCTTTCAACACGAACAGTTTGAGAACCTTTGTTCCAGACACCCGATACTTGTTTCTTAGAATTTCACGCATCAAATGAGACGTCAGAAGCAAAACTCACGCCACTGAGTGTGAAGCTGTAACTAGAAGATACCCTCTTCAAAATCGATGTTACGTTTCGTTTATACCAAAATTTTCATCTTTTATCTCTTGAGCGCATAACTGGACCGATGGAGTTTGTTGAATTTTTCCTTCAGTCGCTGACCGACTTAAGGTCATAGCAGACTTATCAACTCGGAAAGGGATCAACACCGTATCGCTTTTCGCGAGCTGTCATCGCCCTTCGCGCGCTGTCACCTCGAGGCATCAACGTTACGTCGTATTTTATTGCATCCATTATGTTCTTAAAATTAGAACATTATGGGCCATTTAATTTATAAACTGCATGTACCTATTTTATTTGTGGCCTAAGTGTACCTATGATATGTTTATTTTATTTTTAAGCTTGTAAGCGCTTTGGACCTGCTCTGTAAGCTTACAAGTGTTTTGCATTAATAAATAAATAAAATAAATAAACGTTACTGTGCGGGTAAGTGTGCGTTGCAGTATGGAGTATCATTCAAAGAATACTGACCGCCTCGAGTTGATGCGGTTACGATCCCTTTCCCGGTGGGTAAGTGTGCTACGTCCTTTATCCGAACAAGGAAACAACAAGCAAATATGAGAAAACAAGGAACAAGATTTTGTAAACACTCGGGTATGGGTAGCAGTCTTGGGTAGCAGTTTAATGTTTGCTTGTATTGGAGCGTGAAATACAAACATGTACTTTGAAAGCTGAAAAGATGAAGTTTGGAATTTAAGTTCTCGGCAACAATGGCATAATATTTTGTCAAGAAAGTTCATCAGTTTGCAGATCATAAGACGTTATTTTACATTTACCTAATTCCGAATAATTAGATATTCGATATTATAGCATCCATTAATAACTGACCCGATTAATCTGATCAGTCA